TTGGGACACAGTCCTGAAGAGTATAAGGGTCCAGGAAGGCTGAACATTCTTTAAGAAGAAAGTCTTAATGGCACAGGAGCAGGCTGTCTCCAGGTGCTGTAAGAGAAGCCGGTAGCAGAGAAGGTCACCCTGGCTGAACAGGGAGTTTTGGCTGCACCTCAGGGAGAAAAGGAGAGTTTACAGCCTTTGGAAGAAGGGGCTAGCCACTCACAGTGATTACAAAGATGCTGTGAGGCTATGAAGGGCAGAAATCAGGAGGTCTAAATACAGTGTAAAGTTTAGCTCAGATTTCCTAACATTTGGTTGGTTGTAGCTTCCCATTCCCATACAGGGAAAAATTGCATAATAAATCTTCTCTCTGTGGGGAATAATACTCACCTGTCAGAACAATCCACTTTTCTTAAAGTAACTCCCAGGAAATTTTTTTACTATTTATTTTTACCAGTTTGGGCAATTGTAAGAACATTGCTACCTGTGAGATACTAGTTGTACGTAGTGTGTTCAAAAAGTGGTGAGGTCTGCTCTGAGTCAGACTGAGAAAGGAAGACACTCTTTGTTAGAAGCATCAATACCAGACAGATTTATTCCTCAAAATAGACCTTCAGTTTTCACCAAGACAAGTTAGCTATAATTTTTGTTGTTTAGCTTGTAAGCAGATGTATTTACAAACATGGAAACCAATCATTCACTTTCATTCTTCTTACATTTTATTACTGGAAACAGCATCTAAACATTTCTATGAGAATTACATCCTTCTTGTTTCCAGCCTTCAGTCAAAAGCAAGTTTCTTAAAGAGTGTTTGTCTGATATTCTTCCTATTAGAAACGACATTGTGAGCATTAAATAAAAAGGTGTTAATGTTCACATTTTATTATCTGTTGGTTTAGCACTCTGTTTGAGATGCTTTTTTTGATTTTCTTTATTCTTTGACTTTCAGCAAATGTTTTATTCTGCCTCCTGGTGTTTTGTTTTGTTTTTTTTTTTTCCCCCAAATATAAAATTTTTCACATTGTATAGTCTATACTTACATTACTTAGTTGGCCTTCCATTCATAGTCTATTGTTTTTGTTGTTTTCTAAAGGGTCCCAAATTTGTAGAGGGTATACTACTTGATTCACTTTAGAGGGGTTACACACTTTTATGAACTTATTTTAGATGACCAAAAATATTTTCATTCACTTACAAGTATTGTGCTGTGTGTATACTTATTTCAGTGCAAACAGCAGCCATTACTCAAATATAGTGAGTAAAAAAAAAAAAAATCACAAAGCAAACTTTTTCAAATAATAAACAAAATGTGGAAAGAATGAAAGTGAATGTTTGGTTTCTATGTTTATAAATATATTTTGAAACATTCAGCTACAATATTTATGGTTACCATAAGGGAACTCCAAAGCAAAAAATCAAGAGCACTGGCAATTTTATTAGGCAGTTTAAATATATTTTTAGCAAAATAAAGCATGTTTTAAGTGCTGGGATTTGTTTTTTTAATTTATTTTAAGGCAAACTTCTGAGACCTAACCTTGAAGATTGTGTTATACTGTTAAATTTTATAAAATTATGTAATCTTTATTAAAACTCAAAGTAAGATGCCACATAATACACATTATTTTGCTTAAATAATCTTTCAGTTTCTATTACCTATTTGATCCCTTTTTGTCTACACTACTTATATATTGGTCATTGATGCCAACTGTCCAATTCCAAGCTTGTCATCAGATGCAACTAGCTGTCCCTGGTGAATTCTACAGGTAAAATACATTGACCTAGAAAGATAAAACTATTTTCATTTTTAGAAATCACAAAATTCCATATGTGTTTACAAAATGGGGATACCCATCAGACTTTGCAGCCCTACTAAATAATGATAATGCACATTGTTGTCACAAACTACAAATACAAAGACTATATAGGAAGAGCTCCTTAACTACATTATGACCGTGAAAATTTAGGGAGCTAGTGTGCCCTATTTGGGAAGGTCACTTAAATCCCAGGACTCTAATGAGCAATAAACATGCTTCAGATAGAGGCTGTTAAATTTTATGACTACCCTACACTAATGTGCCTTTTCAAAAATGTTCCTCTATATCAAGAGAAACAGAGATCCTTGTAGTGACAAACCTATTTAATAGCTGTCTCTATATAAACTTACCTGGTTATTTATAAAACTATATAAGGTTTCTAGACTATATTTGTATTGCTTTCTCTCAGCAACCATGCCTTCTGCTATTTTGGGGTGATAGTTGATACCCAAATAAATCTTACTTGCTATATTCAGCTCATCTTTTTTTTTTGGTCTCTTATAACTTAATGGCTGTGGATCTCATCAGTTTGACCTTCAAAAGACCTTCTATTTGCCACATAGGACAATATAGATCTATGCTATCAGTTATGGTAGACATGATATGCTTATGAAAGTCTAACAGAAGTCAGCAATCATGGACAAGAGATGAATTCAAATTAAAGTCTTCATATCATAAATGAGGTGGAAGATTGGACAATGTGTTCCTTGTGAACAGATAAAAAATGAGAGTTTTAGTCTTCCATCAGCTTCCTTCAACCTGTGGCCCTGGAAAGATTTTCATTTTGGGACAGAGAATGAAATTAATCTCATCTAACTTTAGACTACTGCAGTGGAGATGCCAGTAACTGAGCTGGTCACCTCAGATCTCTTTACAGTCACATAGACATAAAGTTACAGTAGGGGGAGACTTACATGTTTTGTATGAGATGGTTGTTAATTGCTTATTCAATTTATGGGTATCTACATGGGATTAGAGGAATTCTAGTCTTAAGCCAATGTTCAGCCACAAATCATCCTCACTATCAGCTGAAGCTAACGGAAGTTGCAGACATTCAGCACTACTGAAAACCAGAGTCCATTTCCGACATACAGAATTTGTAGTGATTCTTCTGTGGTCATGCTGTGAAAAACACTCTCATCTCTTATCAGAAACATGTTACAGAAGTTAGTGAAAAAAACCACATCTTTAAGTCCAAACTAAGCTACAAAACAGTTTTAATAGTTGATAAACTCTGTCATCATTTCATCACCTCAAATATATTAATGACTCCTGAGAGGTACTCAGATTCCATACAGTGACATTATCCATAGAAGAATCTGCAAATAAACAAAATCAATAATGAGCTAACTCTTACAACCTTCAATTTTAAATGCTAACACTAAAATATGTGCACAAGTACAGGACTGCATTCAACTTGACTTTAAATATTGGTCGTCTTTAGCTGCTGAAGTTGATTCAGAAAAGTATTCTATCTGAAAAACAAATGCAGTATAAAATAGAGTATTTTGCTGGGAGGTTTTACAGATCTGCCCATTTTAAAAGTTCCTCTTTCCCTAGTAAAATAGTTTGTAAGACATAAAATGATATACCAGACACTGTCTTTTCAAAAGTGAGACATGTTTCCTCTTGTCAAGGCAGTAGATGTCAAATCTAAGTGTGGTAGAAAGTACTCTATAAGTATGTACAGGATAGAAAAAAGGCATGGAAACAGTTTTGACTCCATGTTCCTGAGAGGCCTATTTAATCTGATAAAGGTTTTATGAGAGGCTTAAGAAAGGGTTAAGAGAAATCATAGACTGATTTGAGGGAAGGGCAAAAGGAAGAACTGGAGCTAAGGCAAGACCCAACATGGCTCAGCTGTGACATGACATGATGGAGCATGGCACAGTTTGAGGCAAAACAAAACTCCTCCTGAGCCTCGGGAAAATGACAGTTTTCCTGGATGATATGTCTTGAGTGTAACAAGGGATTCCCAGTATCAGGAAAAAAAATGATGAGATGTCATTGTCCTTTTGAAGGATGTTTTACAATGGTGATCTGTGGTTAAATTCCACATTTAATGAAAGAAGAAGACTGAGGAGATTGGAACAAGGCTTGAGGTTTGGGATACTAAGATGGCTAGAGAGAAAGAAACCTAAATACCTTAGCTCTCTGTAGACAGACTGCATGATGATACTGTTCTTTAGCATAACCCATGGAAATAAGAAATGGAAAACTCATTCTTTTTGCTATACAAAGCTATGTATGTACTCAGTTTACTCTGTTGCTGCTACAGATGTATGATTTCAATAGGCTATCCTGGACTAATTCCAATAATGTAGGTTGTAATGCTATCTGTGAATGTGTGGATGTTTGAATGTTGTCAGTTTTTTCCATCATAACAGAGTAGATTGTTTGATTTCATAGGACAGAAATACTGCTGAAGGCTTTTGCAGGTTTGCATTATATTGGATTTGGAAAAGCACATACATGTATTGAGATGGCTGCTTTAATGGAGTAGATGCTAGTGAGACAGAAGATCTTTTCCTTTATCAGTTTTGCCAGGCAAACCATTTGTGTAACAAAGGGAGAAACTACAACATAAGTGAAAATCAGGATTTTATGTTCAACTGCTGCAGTATATATATTTGGCTATGAATTACATACAAGGAAAAACTGTTTCACTGTGAAACAGTGGTAAAATATTTGAAGAAGTAGCCCAGAGAATCTCCATCCATGGGAATATTCAAAACTCAGCAAGCCTGGTTTAACTGGAATGCTTCAAGCAGGGCTTAGACTAGATGCCTACCAGATGTCCCTTTCAACTTAATTTATTCTATGATTAGAAAGATTAGGGATTGATTCTACATTTAAGGCAAAACCATCAACTTCAGGGTAAAAATCAGAGTGAAGAGCAAGAGAGAGATCTGCACTCAGAATATATCATGGAACAAGGTAGTCTGTTTTCCAAAAGATTTTCCAAACAGTTATGCAAAATATAGTTAAAAATACTTGCCTTGAGGTCAAAGTTCATTTTTCAAATTTAAGATTCTGAGGTATCCACTATTCATTTAAAGCTAAAGTTAAAATGATACTAATAATTAAAAAAAGACAGACATCTAAGTAGATGTGATGCTCAACTTTTAAGCTAAAGTTAGGTGAGAAAATGCCAGTCTTTACAGTTGCCTGTTTGTTTTTTTTTTTTTTTCCATGCAGGACAGAAAGATGAAAATGAAAAATATTGAAGAGCTGCATCGTTTCTGGGATGCTATAAATTTTGAGTGCTGACTAAAGCAGCAGTACAATAAAGACTGGACTTCAGCAAAGTGTTTGACACTGTTTCCTAAAGACTTCTCCTGGACAGACTGCCAAGATACAAATTGGATGGGTGGTCTGTGAGATGGGTAGGAAACTGGCACACAGGCTGCATTCATAGGTGGTGATCGATGGTTTTTACTCAGGCTTGCAGCTTGTCACAAGTGGGGTCCCCCAGAGATTGATACTGGGCCTCATGCTGCCCAACATCTTCATAAATGGTCTGGATAATGGGATTGAAAGCACCCTCATCATGTTTGCTGATGGTGGTAAGGTACACATCAGAAGGGAGAGCCATCTTACAGAGCAACCTGGACAGGCTGAAAGAGTGGGCTAGCAAGAACACAAAGACAAGTGACAAGTTCTGCATCTGGGATGAAATAACCAAAACCCCCAGTGCAGGCTAGGATCTGTGTAGTGAGAGAGCAGCATTGCTGAAAGGGACCTTGGAGGTCCTGGTGGACAGCAAGCTGAACAGGAATCAGCAGTGCACTGCTGTAGCAACGAATGCAAATCAGATCTTGGGCTGCATCTGCAGGGGCAGTACTACCAGGGATATGCAATTATCCCACTCTACTTAGAACTTGTCAGGCCACACCTGGAGTACTGTCCGTAACTGTGCTCCACACAATTCAAAGACATGGACAGACAGGATAGGGTACAAAGGAGGGCCACTAAATTGGTCAAAGGGCTCGAAAACCTGCCCTATGAGGAATGACTGGAGGAGTTAGGTCTTTTCTGCCTGGAGAAGAGAAGGCTCAGGGGGCACCTCATCACAGTATTCCAGTACTGAAAAGGATGCTACAAAGAAGCACTCTCTTCATAAGGAGCCACATGGAGAAGACAAGGGGCAAAGGGTGTAACTTGCACAGGGACTTTCAGCATGATATAAGAAAAAAATTTTTTAGATGAGAACAGCTGATCACTGGAACAACCTGCCCAGGGATGTGGCAGAGCCCTCATTGTTGGAGGTTTTCAAGACACAGTTGGACAACGTGCTGCATAACCTCATATAGGCTCTCTTTCCCATGTAAGATTGGACCACATGATCTTTTAAGATCCCTTCCGACCTGGGCTATTCTATGGTTCTATGACAGAGAAAGAGATAACGCATATTTAACATCATCCGGAATGCACCTGTGTAGTAAGGTATTGCTTCATTGGGGAGCGTGTTGTCAACAGCTTATTTCAGCAAAGACTTGTTAGGTTTTAGCATCTGTGCCCTGTGGCTATTGCCTGTATTGACTCTTCTCCACCAGCTCCCAAACTCACTGAACAGCTCTCACACAGCAACAAGCACACACTCTTCCTCGAAACAGCTTACCCTGTAGTTGCTTCCCTGATACTAAAACTGCAGACAAAGAGACTATCTTTCCAATGCTTCTCTAACTGCCAATCCACCTACACAGGTTACAGGAGGAAAGTTTCTCTGGGTCAACTATAAACAGTAGGATAATTAAAGAAAACAACATGGAGCTGGACTGAAAGAACTGACAATTTGGAAGGAATGAAAGAAAAGAAAGTTAATAAATATTGGTCCATATTCCTCTCTATTGAGACTGAACCCAGTTAATCCCAAAACTCTTTCTCTTACTGTCACTGTCTAGAAAGACAACTGTACTGCCCACGTGTGTCCAGCTCATGGCAGAAGCAGAGCTGAACAGAAGAGAATTTCTTTGCTGTGAGTTCCTCTCTTGGCTCATGCTGTCATGACTGTTAAAAATATTTAAAGACCCTGTTGCTGCTGAGGATGCAATCACTGGGATCTTTGCAGTTCCATGAGATGGGGTCTTGAACCATGTTCCTTGTTAAACAGTTCAGGAATTTCATCTCAGCTGCCTTGATTTCAAAGATTATGTTTGTGAAGTTTGCTTAATATTTTCTGGCCCACAGTATTTCAGTCCCTGCTCTGACTTGGGTGCTATTTGAACTGGAAAAGTTAATGACATTTCAACCATCCCCTAGTAAGATAAACTCACCAGAGTTGAACACTGAGCCTGTAGATCACTCAACTGCAGATCACCTTCCTGTATGTGACTAATAGAGTTGCATTTTGCTATGAAGTTATGTTTTGCTTCAGCTATCTTTATTTTTCTGTAGGGGAGAGATAGGCTTGAATGTCTGAGTCTCAAGGAATGATTCAGAATGATTGTTGACAGAATCATGTATGATGTATTGCAGTTTACCAGAGAAACCAGGAAAGGATGCACTTTGTGTCTGTGGTGGCAACTTTCTGGCAACTTTCTTATGTTGCCTGTAGTTAAAAAACTCAGAAAGTTTCTGGGATTATTTATTTATTTATCTAACCAAAGGCTGAACAACCCTGGAGGGATCCTGCCACTTCCTGAATTAATTACTTCTGACATTTCACTTGTAATCTGAAATATGGAACCAAATCTTTTTCCAGGCAAGTTTTACTAGCTGGTTTTCTGCACTAAATATACATTGTCTAGAAAAAACAAAGGCTGGGAAGGGAAAAACAAGCCCTACTACTGGTATGGTATGGATGCCTAGCCTTCTGCTACTTGTTCTTGTAGATTAGTAATTACACACAGGAGGCTGGATGCTTTTGTGGGTGACTTAGTTTTCAGTTTTATAGACATTTAAACTCTTGACTGAGTGAAGTTGGTATAGTGAGTTAAAGCAGGTCAGAGCTTAGTCCATTTGAGCATGGGAGTGTCATAGTCCCACCTTCCTTGTGCCTTTATTTAAAGAGCTGAGGAACATGTCCCAAACCATGAAGGTACTCTGTGTCCTCAGGCCTTACAAAGTGAAGGTGAGTCTCTGATACTGAACTTACTAAACCTCCTGTTTAAATTAGTCATGGCTCCACAGTTACTTTAAGGCATCTAAGAGTGTATTAACATTTTTTTTTTTTTAGATAAAGACTGAATGTTTGAGGTCTCACTCAACTACTGTAAACCAGAAACAATTAAAAACATATATTGTGGTGCTTTTCAAGTTTCCTTCCTAATTTATGAAGACTGTGTGGGAGAAGACAACAGTCTGTACTCAGGAGAAATGCAGTGAATCAGCCTGTTCTTTATGGTGAAATGTTCTTTTATGCAGCTGCTGTACCTTGGAGAAAAAAAAAACAAATAAACTTCAGATTCTACTTTAATCAATCTCATTTAAAAAAAAAAATACTGCTCAACAATGGAATCTACAGTCTGCTGTCTTAATGTAATATTTGGTATTGTTTTGAAATGCTGTGTTATGTCTGCCTCCCTTTTTCTCTGGCTACAGGAGCAGTACTGATTAATCACACGACTATTATGGAAGTTAGGCAAAGGCACAGAGGGGCAATTGTGCAGAGACCTATTGTCCCAGGGAAGGATGTGGGAGGGGTTCTTCCCTAGGTGCCTCCACATGCAAACAGTGCTGGTTGAGATGCCTTTTTTAGGAAATTCAGAGTCTTATCTGCATACCCAGCTGGCCAGCTAGGGGCAGAGAGAAGCAAGCACAGTCCTTGCTGCCTTTGCTATCCTCTGCTGTGCAGAATGCCTGTCAGCAATAACCACATCTTGCCTTGCTCTGTTTCTGTGTAGGGACATGGGAAGTGACAGAAGAGATGCTTACACACACAGAATCACCACAAAGAGGCACCTGGAGAAGTCAGGGTCAGTCTGGTTTCACCTAAGTTGAATTATTACCCTCTGTCCCTACTCTAGGAAGTAAAGGACTATGGAAATGGGCTGGTAAGATCAGTGGCAGCACAGAGCAGTGGCTGTTCCTCTACACCTTTTCTGGAACAGAAACTAGCTGAGGAGTTAACATGGATGTCCTCAATGTGACTGAGCACTGACAGTTTTCAGTTTTAGCCTACACTTACTACCCTTACCATTGTCACTGTGATATGAACATATCAACATGGATTTTAAAGGTCTGCGAACTTGATGAGACATCCTGGGATTACGTGACTCAAGAGACTACTTGAATGGTCATGTATTCTGGCATCTCTTCTACTTGTCCCAGTGTAAGAAACCCCAGGAGTATGTCTGGAAGCTCTCCATTCCTGGAAACTCTCACCAGTGTTGTCTTTGCTGGGCACAGTCTACTGTGGTTCTTTTTGAAGAAGGTTTGACTCTTTGAAGGCACAGTAGGATAATGTTTCTTTGTGCATTCCTGCTTCACTTTCTGGTCTGACCAGATACAGTAACGGCCTGGCAAAGCTGGTGACCTCAGTAACAACTGTTCTTGTTCACTGTGGACATCTGCTGCCAGTCTTAAGGGACATCTATGGCTTTTGGCTTTGTTCCCATTCCATATTGCCATTATGACTACACATCTTTGCATTTTAATTTATATGAGGAGAAAGGATTTCAAGCGTTTTTTCTTAGTGGCAGACCCAGTCTTGGTCACTGTGCCTTATATGATACAGCAGCCACAGGGAGAACTAGCAGTCAAAAAAGGCCAGTTCCTATCATTCACATGCCAGAGGCCACTAAGAATTTGTTGTACATGCTCAGGAATTTTTCCTGGCTTCTCAGCAACTGCTGTGTGAGGTATAAACCACTAACTGCACTAAATAGAAAATGGGCACTCACCATTTCTGACCTTACTCTCATAGAGGCAAAACTCATTGCAGCTGAAAGCAGGACCTTCACATTTGCAATATATTCTTCCCACTCCCATCCTCTTCCGAATACACCTCAGAGCAAACCTAGCATCAGGAAACATGAGCTACAAAATGCTTTCCTCAGAGCAGACTCTGCCTTGCAGCAAAATATGAAATCCTAGTTTACTGAGCAGATTTGTAAGGGCACTCCATGAAAAGTCAGTAGGAATTAAGCACCAAGGCATATCTACAAATCCTGTTTGGTGAGGATTTGGATCTGGGCACCTGAAATCTTTCTCAGATCCTGAACTTCATGCAGTGAATTTGTCCTGTTTCTTTTCCAGATGCAAGGTTTGGAAAAGAGCAACAGGTTTTTTGTTGTTGTTGTTGTTTTTTGGGGTTTTTTTTGTCCCATTTCACAGACATTGTAAATATTCCTGTTTACTTCAGTTACATGCTTTTCCCATTAGAGGAAAATAGTTTATGAATTCAGATTCATGCAGTTGTTTCTACTACCTGGGTTAAAATGTTTCAGAAGCTTGATCTGAAATGCAACAGGGGTAAAGTGATGATTCACCTACTTGTGTTCACAGTTTATTTTACTGAACATTGCAATAGTTTAACTTCTCCCAGCAACACCCAAATATGTTCAGATGCAGCTGATACTGTGCCATTGTGAGCTTTAGTTATTTTGTTTAACTTCTTACAGGGGTCCAATTGAAAAGTGAAGATCCATATAAATCTGCATACCAAGGTTAGAGGTGTTTACATCCCTAGGTTAGGTCTGGGAAAATAAAAATGTGGGATGGAACTTTATCCCAACCTTTTCCTTCCTTGACATTCAGGGTGGCAGCAGCTGTTAGTGTTGGTGTTAATGACTTTGTGCCCAAAAAGACCTAGCGAGTGACAGATTGTTAATGATTATGTAGGGTGATCATCTTTCAAATGCTTCTAAAGTATCTTTTTATTATTATTGGAATCATTCATTGTCTTGTGTAATAGCACTGTCCAGATTTCAAGCTCATCACTCATAAACAGCCCTTCATCTGAGAAGAAATTGGACTGCTTAGTTTAGGTACAGCAGCGAACCTCTCATTGTGAGGAAAAAAATTAGTTGTGCTATTTATGTTAGACACGGGAATATTTTCCTTCAGTCATGGAATACAAGGACAAGCACAGTATTACAAACTCTAATTTTTACATATTTACTAATATTCCAGCATGAATAAGACATGACAAACAATGGCCAGTGTTGCAAATATGCAGATGCTGAATTTTAGACATGCAGGTAATCCAGCGAAATTCAACAAGTATAATAACATGCAAACAAAAGGCGATACTGATATTTAGAGAGAAAAAAGCCAAACAAACAGTAGTCTCTGAGTTGCTACTCTAGGGATGTGAGTTACTAATGACATTGATTTAAGAACGTGCTTCCTAGGCATACTTCAGAAGCTGGCTAACTTTCAGTTTTGTGGAAGAAATCCTACAACAGAGGTATAATACCTGTTTCTGTGGGATACGTAGGCCTCCCTTTTCTCTACGCTCTCATGTCCATGTTTCATTTGTGCGTTGTGTGTGTGTTGGGAGTGAATCAGAGTCCTGCTAGTGGCAGCGGGTGCTCAGACAAACAGCAAGTTCTGCTCAACCCTGCAGCGGAGAGAGGCTGGGGGCGAGCACCAAAACTGAGTCAATGTGCTGTAACTGAGAGATTTAGTGGGAATACGTCAGCATCAGAAAGTGATGGTTGGAAATGCATCTGAGCTCTAGGGTGGGTTATTTTAAGTTTGAAGAATGAATTGTATCTGACCTCAGAATTAGCCTGCAGTTTGGACACTTTTGTACAGTATATGATGGGATTATCTAGTACTGAGAATGCATGTAAATGCATCAGACTAGTGGAGCTGGGCTTCAGATTCAGTTTCTTTTCCTTGGAGGTTGGCACCCTAATTGCTTGGCTCTTTTGGAAGACATGAAATGGAGCAGCAGGATGAGGGGGGTGGACTAAAGCTTTCACTTGCTCTTTTTTTTCTTGAAAAAGTTGAAAGGTCTCAATTTCATCCCAATATGGAATGGAAAACCGTTTCTTGACTCAAATATATTCCTGGAATGGAAATAAACAGTTTCCTACTCATTTCTATTCATGGTTCTTCATTCTTCCCATTTACAGCCATACATTTCAGATTATGAAATCTGAAGTCCAAACACCTTTGAATAGTGGCCCTCCCAGGAGATGCTTATTATGGTTGCTCATGGATGAGTGAAAATGGAGAGAAGTTGTCTTATAAAAAGCATCCCACTGCTTTCCTTCATTCATTTTCAAAGTATTATTTTGGCCTACAACTAACACCAACCATTTAGAAGGAAAAAAAGCTGAAAGCCTGTCATAAATAATTATATAGTCCTGCAGTCCTCTTAGTAATATTCAGCAGTTATTTTTGAAGCATGCCAGCACTAATACACAATCGTTAAAGTGCTTCAAGTTGTTTGCCTTTTGTGTAGTGGTGAATTTTTCCACTGGTGTTTTTTATTAAATGAAAACAAAGCAACTGACTGGGTGCCAAGAAGATTCTGTATTTTAATCCATGTGAGACAAGGATTTGACTGAGAGCTCGTCCTTGTAAGTGTGGTTGCCCACACAGAAAAAAAAAAAAAAAAAAAAAAAAAAAAAAAAATCACCAAAACCCCAATGTAATAGGTAGAGCAAAAAGGGCACAAATGTCCACTGATTGCATAATTGACACTTCTGTTGAATGAGCTGGGGCAAGATGATTCACAGTATAATGATTTTATTAGATCGGTGATAATGTTAGTTAAGTAAGTAGTCATTGCAGCCAAGTGCTTCATCTTCCCACCATTTTTCTCTTTACTGTTCTCTGGAATCCTAGGTCTCTTATTACATTGTTGGATACAGATCTTGTTATAGCTCTCCATGCCTTTTCTACCTTTAAATTAATCTAATCTAATATGCTGCATGGGTACTGTCTGCCAAGATGTTCTGGGAAACATGCTAGTGCAGCACATAGCTTGGCCTCTTATTGAGCAGCAGAGAGCTTTAACTCAGTGCTCCGTGATTGGCACTGTCACTTCGTCATTTCCATGTGGTATTTAAAGTGTTGTTTTTAACCAGCTGAAATAGGCCTCTTTTACCTGTTAACTTAAGAACCTGTCTCTGTTGTGCAATGTTATCCCTAGAAAAGACCAAAGCTAAATTACTTAAGTCTCTTATAATTACCATCAGAATTTGACATCAGGTAAGCTTGACTTGATTGGTCTCAGCAACTTTTAATGTCAAAATACAGAAGCTGCAAGAAATACTGGAAAAGAGAAATAAAACAAGAAGATAAAATCTTTATTAAAATGCATTGTTTTTTTTTCACTTAGATAACTTTGAACATTATGGGAAGACAACGGTGCTGTTGAAGAAATTTTGCCAGTTTATTTGATCAAAAAAGTACTAGAAAGTAATTATCATCAGTCTCCTGTTACAGTTTTTTGTGAGACTGAACAAA